AAAAAATTATACATATGTATATGTATAATATTTTTTAAAACGTGCCTCTTTGATGGTGCATATATGTATGTATTTAGTGTAGAATGGGCTATCCACTCATTCTACCCATACAAATCTCCCGGTACAGACGGAATCATTCCAGCAATGCTACAGAATGTGCTCTGTTTATCCGTGCCGTGGCGAGAGGCGATTTTTAGGGGATGCATGAAGTTCATGTATGTGTCACATACATACATATGTACATATATGGAGAGAGGAGGAAGACTTAGGCATATAAGCTTAACTTCCTTCTGCTGAAAACGGTAGAAGCTTGCCCAATGTGTAGCATGCATATACGAAAGGGTTATTGGAGCATTCCTGGGCACTTCTGGAGCTCTCTCCATGGTGCTATTGTAAAACCACTTCTGCTCTACGGTGCAATAGTATGGTGGACAGGCGTACGGGAAGGGGAAGAATTCTCTTTTGATTACGGTGGTTGATCGCTGACATTCATTGCGTTTTTGGCTTTAAATTCGGCCACAATCGTGACTCTATGCGATGGTGACTTATCATCGTGTAAAATTCATGTATCGTTCTCCACAATTCCGGCCGTTTTCGACGGATGTTTGACGGTCTGTCCCTCCGGAATAAATTCATGATGCACCAAACCACAAATATCGGAGGAAACAATGATCACCTTGATTTTTGAGCGCCTTGGCGTGGTTTTTCGGTTTCGACTTTTTTTCCCCTCCACTCCGATGATTAGTGACTTGTTTGCATGTTAAACTTATAAATCCATGTTTCATCGGCAGTAGTGCATTATACACAAATGTGGGATTGGAATTCACACGATCAAGCATGCCCAAAAAAATCTGTTTACGGTACTCTTTTTGAAAAAAATTTCATACCCAAAATATTTACCAACAACATTCAAGCGGACTCGCGAGAGATGCCGAGCTCTCTTGCCATCTGTTTAACACTCATCAGTTGAAGAGGTGAAAAGTCGTTCAGAGCGAGACATTTTGAAGGCTTTGTACCACTCGTATGTTTGTATTTTTGATCAAACTGAATCATTGTAAACATTGTTCTAATTTCATCGGGAAGAACATCCATATTTGGAATATTTTTGCATGTGGCTTTTTTAACATCACCCAGAGATGTCCTATAGGGTTTAATTCTGGGCGGGACGATTCGCACTCCAAAACATTGATATAATTTTCATTAAAAAAAAGCTTTTGTGTCCACTTAGACGTATGCTTTGAATTGTTATCTTCCTTATAAATGCAAATTTTCTTCAGGCCATGGCAAATTGACATTTTTTAGGATGTAGAAGTATTTCTCCTTGTTTAAAAAATCCATTATTCTTATGGAGTGGACCAAACCATTGCAGATAACAAATCCCACCCCATGATTGATCCTCTTCCATACTCAATTACGCGTGGAACATAGCGAGGATTAAATTCTCGAATTATTGGACGGCGAACATACCTTTGACTATAAGGACCTAAGCGATTAATTATTGTTACATCGTTCCAAATGACATAGCTCCATTGATTTGTTGTCCAAGGCCAATTAGAGTTGGCAAACTCTACGTACCGTTTCTAATGAATTTTAGTCTTAAGTGGTTTCCTGCGTGCTGCCCTGCCGTAAAGTACAGATGCGACTAAACAACGTCAAATTATTTTCTTGGATATTTGAACATTGTATTCGTCTTGAATTTCACGTAAAATGTCAGTGGAACTCTTTTTTTTGGGTCTCCAAGGCAAATGGTAGTAATTTTGCGGTATATTTCTGTTGAAGTTTTTTCTTTGTGTGCAATATTGAAACTAGTTTTGAAATTCCGTATGAGTATATGCTTAAGAACATTCAAAACAAATTTTTTTGAGCATTTGACCTTATTCGAAATTTCTTTGCACATATTTTCAAACCGATGAAGGTTAAAAATGTAGCTGCGAAGGGTAGGTGTACAGCGGCAGCTTTTCCTCATTAAAAAAATTGAATAATCCATTTTAATATATTTTACACCGCAACTTTGAAACACATCCTTACCAGAAATCAATAATACTGCTAATAAAAATTAGCACCAGAAGGAATTCTAATACCTTAAATAACTGTTTCTAATTAGCTGTCGCACTCAATTCACCTTCTATACGTAACGCATTTACTATTTTTTTTTAAAAAGGAAAGAACTTTAACTACACAACTACAAAACAGAGTGAATTTCTAATTAGCTGTCAACGGCTGTATATGTATGTACCTCCACCTTGAATAAGCTCCGGAGCCGGCGCTGTCCTGATGGCACACAATTCCCTTACAATTGGCAATAGCTGGGAACTTCTGGCCGATTGTTTCTTTCCAACGGTCCAACTGTTGATATTGCTGTATTAAGTGAAGAGCAACTAAAAGTGGATGACTCCCTGCTAATCTCAAAAAATACTTAGCAAAAGCGTTGTGCTTTTTTTACATCAAAGTTAGCAGATCGGAATCCACTAAACTAAAATTGAGATTTGCTGTTACAGTATCAGGATCATACTATTCATATTTTCAGCTGCCTAAGTCAAGCAATCACGACACTGTCTGAGAAGTTTTTTTTTCAGTTCGAAATTTTGTGTTTTTAGTGTTATTTTTTAGTTTGAAATCTTGAGTTGAGTTATATCTACGTCGCCACATACATATACCTAAAGCTAGCTATTGAAAAAATAATAGATTTATTACCACTAGTTCTTACATTCCGTCTCAATTTTGTTGGTTACCGATACGTATAGTCTTATGCCAAACAGAGATTCCACAGAGGGGAGAGTTTGGGATAGATTCATACTTTTTGGGTTCTAAGCCTCGATAAACTAGAGAAAAAATATGTAAAGAATAAAACCATATAGGGTGTATGATAGGTAGGATAAAGATCTTCACTAATTGCTAAATATGTAAGGGTGACCGCGGAATGGAAAATGCGCTAGACTCTGCTTGAACCGTCGCGACAATCATTATATTGGGTATAAGGTAGAAGGAGGCCTATATTTAAATTAGAGTAGGCTAAAATCATGTGTGATATTTGTGATAAATTAAATTTTGGCAGAAATTTTTGCTTGAGATATCTTTAACTTAAGTCGCTGTAGCCGCAAATCGGATTGAGAAATTCAGAAGCAAACGATGACATTATGAAAGATAAAAAACAGAAACATGAGATTTTCGTAGAATTTTTGTTGAATAAGAATATTTTGAAATGTGTGAGAGCTGACGGACAGGAAGACTGTCTCAAAATTTCCATAAAAATATTTTGAAATATGGAGCTGAGAGCCGAGAGACAAAAAGCTTGTCTCAAATGTTGCATAAAATATGTTGAAGGATCTAGCTGAAAGCTGTCAGATCGGAGGACTGTACCAAAATTTCATAAAAATATGCTGAAAGATGAAGCAGAGAGCTGACGGACAGGAAGACTGTCTCAAAGTTTCCATAAAAATATGTTGAACGATGGAGTTGAGAGCCGAGAGACAAAAAGCTTGTCTCAAATGTTGCATAAAATATATTGAAGGATGGAGCTGAGAGCTGTCAGATCGGAGGACTGTACCAAAATTTCCATAAAAATATGCTGAAAGATGAAGCAGAGAGCTGACGGACAGGAAGTCTGTCTCATATGTCTCATAAAAATATACTGAAGGATGGAGTTAAGACTTGGCAGACAGGAAGTCCGTCTTGAAATTCCCATCAAAATATGTTGAAAGGTGAAGGAAGTAGTAAAATATCCAGAGCACGAAATTATTTCGAACTCCCAGTCAAACAAGACTAAATTGGTTTTCTCTTATACAAATTTGAAGATAACCGAGATTTTTTTAGTGACAGCGGTAATCTAAAATAAAGACTTATAGACTTTATCGACATTGCTTTGATCGTGACCGAACGTAGGTGAGTTGCTTTCAAAGCATGCGACACCAATATCTGTCAAAACAACGACAAAAAGTATTATCAGAGAATCGGGTAGCTTATGGGTTTACTCACGTTGTGTTCGGCTGAGTGATAACAACAACGACGACAATGAAATTTGACACATGTGAAGTTTAGTGTGACTGGCGTTGAATTTAAAACTGTACATCTCTTCTTCTTCTTCGTCTACCTTTTAAGTTATCATTTGTTAAGCGGGCCAGCTCCGCCTTTTTAAATTTTATTTTTCATTGCTGTTATCGTTGTTGCTGCTTTTATGCTTCTAGTCGGACACCCCTTTTCTTGGGGTGCATGCAACCGACACCATGTCGCACGCACACTAACACAAGTGAACAGCCGCGCATTTACACAAAAGCAAAGACAAAGCCGCAGGAAAACTCATTAGGGGTGGTTTTCAGCCTTTTCCTTTTCCTTTTCCTTTTTCTTTGGTTCAATTTTCTCCTGTATTTGTGTGTGTTTCAAAAATAGTTATGTGTTTGTGTTTTCCTTTGCCGTTGCAGGTGCGTCACAATGTAAAACGTGGCAATTATGCCACCTTAGAAGGCAAGGATATAGCCTTCTTCGAGTCCATCGTGGGGAAAAATCACCTCGTGCAAGACGATTTGCAGGGCTACAATGTAGATTTTATGCGCAGTGTACGCGGTATGTTGTCACACCACACCATAGCCCGATGGAGACAATTTGTAAGAACCCATTTCTCTTCCTTTCTGCAGGTAGCAGCCAACTGGTGTTGCGACCCAGCTCCACGCAGGAAGTATCCGCCATATTAAAATATTGTAACGAACGAAAATTGGCGGTTTGTCCACAAGGTGGCAACACCGGCTTAGTCGGCGGTTCAGTGCCGGTTTGTGATGAAATCGTCTTGTCGTTGGCGCGTCTCGATAAGATTCTGCACATCGATGAGATCACTGGCATAGCGGCATGCGAAGCTGGCTGCATTTTGGAGAATTTGGATTTGAAAGCGCGCGAATTGGGTTTGGTGGTGCCACTCGATTTGGGCGCCAAGTCCAGTTGTCACATTGGCGGTAATGTGTCGACAAATGCCGGCGGTTTACGTGTGCTGCGCTATGGCAATCTGCACGGCAGCGTACTGGGTGTGGAAACGGTAGGTATTCCGATTGTTGGCAGGTGATGTTGTTTTTTATAATTTTTCGTTTGCAGGTTCTTGCCAACGGTGATGTGCTCGATCTCATGTCCGACTTCAAAAAGGATAACACCGGCTATCATTTGAAGCATCTCTTTATTGGCTCAGAGGGTACCCTCGGTGTGGTGACCAAGGTTTCCATGTTGTGTGCGCCGCAGTCACAAGCGCAGCATGTTGCCTTTTTGGGTAAGATATTTGCTGTGCGTAAGAACGTCAAGCCTAGCAGAAAGAGCGAAGCTGCCTTTGTAGTCGGTTGGTGTCTAGTTTGTCTCCGTATTCATAATCGGTTGATTTGCTGACGATATTGCTGCCAATATTTCCTTTAGAACCAGAATGGATCATACAACGTTTATGGCATTCACATGCTTTTGTCAAGATTCATCTAGCCGTGATTGCGCAAGTTTCAACAGAGCAGTGTCGTAGAGGTATTCAAGCGGCGAGGCTAAAAATAAAGCCGGACTGTTCAAGTTGTATGGGGGAGACCATGGTGAAAGTATATGGGCACTTCTCTACTGTCTACTTTTCGTTGGTGAGACTATACTGACTGACTGATACGACGTACAGGACCTACAGACCCTTGGTAATGCCAGATAGAGCTTCATTTTAATACATTTACGCGCTGAAGTTTACATCGTACAGGACGTTAACACTTTTTGCAAACTTTAATAGAGTCTCGACGTCTAAAACTGATACTTCGTCCAGTCCCTTGAACTGCGAGGCTCTTAGATATTTAAGCAGAGTTTTAGATAAGACCGGACAGAAGTTTTCCAGCATTTCTCCTACATACTTGCGCTTTCTACATCATCGTTAATTTTGACTAGGCCAAAAACCGGCCTGCAGTTTTTTCAAGACCGTGTGAGTAGAAAGCATCCGTGTCTTACTTCCGCTCGACGCAAGACCTCGGCAATCCTCCATGTCCCCAAAGCATTCCAATTTAGCCAGATCTGTCTCTCAGCACTTTAGGAAATTTCGTTGCGTATCGTTTTGCCGGCTTTTCCCGAACTTGCTCGGTAGCCAAGCGAATGGGACTTTTGTCAGTCTCGTCAGCTTTCTGTAGATTGAGGCTGAAATATTTCGATAGGCACACCTTCAGCGAATCCGGTTTAATCAGAATTGACATTAGTTCTTTTCAGTACATCCAGAATACGGAGTTGATCCAAAATTAGGAGTTATTGTTATCACAATGGACTCACATTTTATGCATTCCTAATGAATCTCGTCTCCTATTAGCCAGCTTACTTAACTAACCTGATAAAATTGACAGACTTGAAAATTTCCTAAAAAAATATCTCAGATAACCGTAAAATCGGAAATAAATGTTTTCCTTTTCACACGTTTATTTAAATATCTGTCTCTGTAAGCTTTTTACACTTGGAACTAAAATTTCTTCTTATAACCTAACATTTGCAGGTCTATCCTCCTTCGATGACGTGCTCAAGACTTTCCGCGATTCGCGACAGTTCTTGGGTGAAATTCTGTCCTCCTGTGAATTGATCGATGCCAATTCCTTGGATGCCAGCGTTAATCACTTTAAACTCAAGTAAGCGTCAGCTTTTCGTCGGGTCGGGTGAACTTTTGAAAAGAGCAATATTTGACATTTTCTCCACTTTATCTCTGACCTCCAGCTCACCAATCGAAGGCTATCCCTTCTATATGCTAATCGAGACGTCCGGCAGCAATGCTGAGCATGATATGGAGAAATTCAATCGTTTCCTTGAAAATGGCATGGAGAAAGGACAAATCATTGACGGCACCATCACCGGCGAAGTGGGTAAAATGCAAGAGATCTGGAAGTTGCGTGAACTGGTGCCCGTTGCGCTTATCGAGGATGGTTTCTGCTTCAAATATGACATCTCCTTGCCGTTGCGTGAATTTTATCACATTGTCGAGGTGATGCAGGAACGTGTGGGAAATTTGGCGACACGTGTTTGTGGCTATGGACACTTGGGTGAGTTTTGTTTAGTTTCTAAGTTATCTGCATGGTTTTCAGCATGTCAATGCTTGCAGGTGATTCGAATTTACATTTGAATATCTGCTGTACCGAGTTCACACAAGAAATCTACAAGTGCATTGAACCCTTCGTCTACGAGTATACATCCCAAGTGAAGGGCAGCATTAGCGCGGAACACGGTATCGGCTTCTTGAAGAAGAACTATTTGAAATACAGTAAAAGCCCAGCGGCCATTTTGAAGATGCGCGAATTGAAGCAACTTTTGGATCCCAATAGCATCTTGAATYCTTACAAAGTGCTGAACTGAATTGTTGTTCGTTTGCAAACGAAGTTGTTAACCTTGAACCTCTTATATTTATTATTAAATTACTAAATATAAATATAGTGTTGTAAATATTAAATTGGTGTTGGCGAGCATACTTTAGTTAAGTTTCAAACTCAAGAAATGTGTTTAAAAATAAATAAAAGTGTATAAAAGTATTTAATAATGATTTTGGAGTATTATGTTTGGATTGTTTTTTTTTTTTGTCATTTAGTCCAAATCGGTTTTCTAGGTACCGAGATGTGTAATTGCACCTAAAAGTGTGTGGTGGCACGTCCATAGTTTTTTTACTCCAGTTCCTATTGAGCGCTCTTGAGATGATCTCAAGTTTAAATTTAAATGCCTCTGGTGTGTTAAGTTATTGATTTGTCGCAAGTAGTTTAAACTGTACCGTTATTTGGGGAGTGAGCAACAATGTGGTCAGATTTCATTCATTTTCACACAGTCGGCTATTCTCCGCGGTTTATCCTCCAAGTTTTCTCACATAGCAAAGCCAACAGTTGACAGTGCACAACCACTGGGCATCGATGCTTCTGTCATTTTACGGCGCGTGGAAACGTTGAAAACTACGCAGTAGACCTATATACCATAATTCATAGTTTTCTTCGCATATTCCGCACACTTCTTGTGACGAATGCCAGCTCTGAGCATTCTTTTTCATTCCAACACGCTTCAAGATAGATTGGTCGACCTGGCGTTGTTGTATACGCATCAAGAGATTGAAGTCACTACGAAAGAAGTTCTCGAAAGATGCTCAAAACTTGGCTCACATCGTTTTGTTTTGTCAGATTTTTCTATTCAATACAAGAATTGACAGTATTATATCGGGTGATTTTTTTGAGGTTAGGATTTTCATGCATTAGTATTTGACAGATCACGTGGGATATCAGACATGGTGTCAAAGAGAAAGATGCTCAGT